GTATATGTCCAAAGTTAATATAAAATTTCAGCAAAACAACAAATAATGGGGCACCAGCTAAATATGAAGTAGAAGGATTTTTCCCATCAGTATCAGTATAGAAAAGGGTTATTTTCGGTATGAGTGGAGATTTTTACACGATCAGTGGTGGTGTGCGACATCGTGGTTTCATGTAAGATTGCCTTGCAGTCACGGATCGCACAAGTGTGAACCTGGCCTTATTGTTCGATATTCAAACCTGGAAGTCTGAATTGATGCCAAAACGCCAGGTAAAATTTGAAAACAGCATTGTATATTCATGGCAGATGGTGTTAAAGGCAATCCAACCCTGATTAGGTTGGCCTTTATCACGACTCTTGTGAACTCTTTGTCCTCTCTGCCCAAAATGTGCAACTCACTGTCCTTGAAAGAATGTCACTTTTCATTAAGGGTAGGAAGACTGCAGAGTTCTGACTTGCAGAATTTAATGTGCTATGTTGGGCTATTTGTTTCCCCAATGTACAGGTGTTTGGCTTCCTCACTAAATGCCGGAGTACATTCCTAACAGTCAAGTTGAACCGAAGAAGCAACTTGAATGAGTAGCAAAATGTCTTCAACATTATAGAACAAACCCAGCTGAATATAAATAGCTACTACGGTACTACACATTTAATGACCTGGGTAAATTAGAACCTTAACAGATATTTTATAACTTCATATACTTCCTTATCTTTTTTTTAATATATTTTTTATAATGTTCTTTACCCTACTTGTACATGTCATTGTTTGAAGTTTCTATCTTTTATCTGGGTAACTGAAAAGTGGAAACTCACTTAGGCCCCATTCACACCAGATCGGATGTGTTTCAGTGCAGTTTCCAAGTGAATTTTAAAAGGGCGTTTTTGGACGGTTTTTATCGCTGATCAGCACTTTTCCATTGAAATCCATATGGAACACACACTGATCAGCGCGAAAAAATAGCTCAGAGAACATTTTTGTCGGTTTGGATAGCGCAAAGCCACGTAATCGCATGAATGGTCCCCATAGGAATGTATGGAGTTGGTCATGTAGGCGGTTCAGAGCTGACAAATCTGAGGCCGAAACACCCTGGTGTGAATGGGGCCTGACTTGTGCATCACTTTTTGATCCTTGTAACTATGTTCCCCTCCAGAAATTTTAACTTGAACACTTAATTATTAACAAAAACTTGATGAATACTTGCTGTTTGTCTTTGCTGATATGAATATATAAAAATAACTCCAGCCATTTCTGTGTATACAAAATCTGCTCAATTTAGGTTATCGGCTAAACAATATGCTGAAATTGTCTCATCTTCCAAATGACACAAATTCAGGATGAAAACAAAAATTTAAGCAGATGCTGTTTTGTCTAGCAGCCACTAGATGACAGGAAAGGATTAGTAGTATTTTATCTCAAATATTCTTTACTTATTCTACTGCATATAACAAGAGAGGCTTGTGATTACATACAGGGTCTCTGTTACCCTGGATATGTACCACATATGACAATGGTGGATGCCAAATGTATGAATAGTAATTGTGGTGTAGAAGGTTAGAACATAAAGGGTAAGAGTCTAATGAAAACAAGTAGTGATTAGCGTTGGGCCACCTTATCTTGTTACTTTAGACACTGTTTAGTTGGGTCAGGTTCACTTTTAAGGCTATCAACACCAAAGCTGTTATTTCAGTTTGTATGGTTGTGAGAGTGAATCCTGATGATACAGTCAAATAGCTGTAAGGTAGTTGTGCCATTGATGTTTTCAGGAGTAGAGATACTAACAGCATTCATTTCAGTCTAAGCTAGAAACCAAGGAATCTTGGGAGCACCCCAATTTATTCCATGCTTGGAGGCCAGGGAATCTTGTAAGCACCCTGCTTCAGTCTATACCAGGAGACCAGAAAATGTTGGAAGCAGTCAAGTCTATTCCAGGAGGCCAGAGAATTATGGGAGCACCCCACTGCAGTTTGTGCCCAAAGGCCAGAGAATTTTAGGGGCACCCCATTCCAATGTGTTCCACAAGGCCAGAGAATTTTTGAAGCACCCCACTACAGTCTCTGGCAAGAGCCCTGAGAATCTTGGGGGCATTCCATTTCAGTCTATGCCAGGAGGCTAGCATATCAGGCATGTGCCTATGCACAGCACTGTAAAGGTATCTACATACATTTCAAAACAATTGTTTGATTTTCCTCTATTTTTTATTAACTGGTCAGACCTAAGAATAGTTGTAGTGTGTGTGTGTGGAACTGTTTTAGTCACTTTTAATACAGTTTTCCAAGCAATTTAAATGGTATACAAATATGTATGTATTGTACAAACAAAAAGTTACATTTTAAAATACAATTGCTTGGGGCTAGGATTGTCACAATATCCGGAAATCCGTGCCGGAGTTTCGATATGCTCCCTGTTTCTGGGCTGTCAGCCTATGGTGTCTCACAAGGCTGCAGCCAATCTGCTCTCCTTCTCCCCTATTTAGGAGTTCCTCACTTGTTGCTCTTGGTGCGAGCAACAAGTCTTATGCCTTGTTCCGTACCCCTTCTGTCTCTGACTAACCCTGGGATCTTATTCCCTGCGCTTGCTATTGCGCTTGCTATTGGATCCCTGCGCCTTTGGCTTCCCTGTACCAGCTAGTATCCCTTTTTGGCGTTATCCCCTGCTTTTGCTCCTTAATTGCCTTCACCTGTGCGCCTCTCCATACTGCCTTCTTTGCCTTACTTCTACTGTGTTTTCCCTCTACAGTCTTTGTCTGTTTGCTGCCTCCTATTTACTGCTTGTTGTACTTCTACTCCGTCACTTACCTTCCAGTGTATCTTCCTTTGCTTTGCTGTCACCCCTTTATTTCTGTGCTCCTCTCTAACCTGGTGGCTGTGTTGGATTCATCCTTGTCTGCACACCCCCTGTGTGCATACATCCCTTTTGTGCTTCTTTGTGTACTTTTCTCTCTCTTATCCTGCTTCTTTGTATGCATGTGCAACGCACATCTCGTTTACTTTTGTACTTTGCACCTTCCTGCTCCTAGGTGTGCCTCTAAGCCGCTTACTATTCCCTAGTGTCCTTGCTTATCTATTCTCTTCAGTATACTCTGCTGTTCTGCTGTGCGTTTGCACTTTTGCTTGAGACTTTCTCTCTCTCTCCCTCTTCCTGTCTTCCTCCTCTTGGTTACAAGTTTCTTCCCTACCTGTTTGTATCCAGTTCCCCGCTGCATGAACTAGTCCCTTGCGTCTGTGTGGGTGCGCTAGAGGGCCGCAACCTGGAAGGTGTCCAGCAGCCAATCATCCTCACCACTAGAGGCTCTGTCGAATACCTGGCCCTTCTTAGATTCTGCGCCTCTAGTGCGTCCTCAGAACGCACAGATCATTCGTTCCTCTCTCCCTGTGACCTACATCCCCGATATCCCGCCTCTTTGTGACTCCTACCAACTCCGCAAACACAGGAGCTCATGTGCACTGGTCCCTAGACCGTGACAAGGATAGTGAAGATAAGGGGAAGAAGTAAAAAACAGGGGAGATTACGGAGTAAGGTATACAGTGTCTCAGTATTTTATACAATAACCAGTACAATTCTGCTCACCCACAACATTCCTGTCCCACAGTAGGAAGTCTGAGAGCAACTCCAGAGAATGGAGTAACTTGCACAAAACACAGTCAATTGTAGATAAGGGGCAGGGGAGTAGTTAGGTGCCTTGGGGAAAGGGGGAAAGGCAAGATTAGGATGGTAAGGTGTGGGTTGGAGGAGTGAATTGCCACCTCTGCTCAGAGGGCGGATACTCACCAATTGATTCTCCATCTTCCATAATGCACACATAGAAGACCTTAGTGGGGGGAAGGTCTTCTATTGTCTTGGAAGACAATAGAAATAAATCCTGTCAAAGTGTTAGGTCCACCAGGGATATATTTTCAAAATACCCATAAAAACAGATCACAATTGTTAGGAGAGGATAGTCAAAGTCTTGAGGAGCAAGACTAAGAGGGTTATTCACAAAGCTGCCGAAGGCAGCCGAGTAAATAACAGACCAGAAGTGAACTGAGCCGAACGCTGTTCGGCTATTCACTTCAGGCTTGTACGGCATCAGCCATACATCGGCTTGCTTCGGCTGTCTTCGGTTCAGCCGAACATGCTCATCATGTTCGGCTGAGCCGAAGTGCAGAATAGAGTCTTGTATATACCTCTCTCTCTCTCTCTCTCTCTCTCTCCTATATATATAATGGGTGGGTTGTGGGGGTCCTTCAGCAAAATCTTGCCCAGGGCCCACTTACTATTAAAGACGGCCCTGCCGGTGTGCATTGACAGGTACACTGCTGATGCACTGATCCCAGAGCATTACAGTTTACTTTTTTGTGACATTTCATTATGTTCTATCAGCGCAGCAAGGTGCACTGCGGTTGTACTGCATCACACCACACTTCTTTAAAACAAAAGTACTACAGGCAAATAGCCTTGTCCGTGCATTGGGACAGCACTAGAAAAAGTTCAAAGTGCATCCCCAATGCATCTGGTGTGAGCGGGCCTTAAAGGTGAACAGTTTTACTAATACTCTATGGGGTCTATTCACGAAGCTGCCGAAGGATCTAGCCGTAGCTTCGGCCGATCCTTCGAGCAATGGGAAAAAAATTGTTTTATTTTTTTCTATTCTGACATCGCTCCGTGTCAGAAGAAAAAAAAGACACAGCAGTGTTTCTCTCCAGAGCGGCCGGGAGCAGGTGACTCCCGGGGCGCCAGGGAGAGTTTTTTCGGTTTTCTTTTACAGCAGCAGAGCCGCCGGACAATAGGAAACTATTGGGCGAAGCTAGCTGTCACTAAACAAATCTTGTTCCTTATGTAAATTCTGCTAACTACAGAATCAAAAAATATCTTTCTTCCAAGATAAATGCTATACTTTTAACCTACATTGCTAAAATGTTTTACTATTGCAAGGCATCCCATGGACAGTTGTTTAGAAAGTTGCAATGCTCCACCTTCTTCTCTGCTGTTTGGAAATGGTCCAGCTATCCCTCCCCTCACTGCAGTAAGAAGCTGAACATTGCGGCAGAGGGAGGTAGCTGTCTGACTGCTGCAAGGAGCCGATGAACAGACTCAGGGAAGAAGGTAAAGCATGCTTGTATCAGGCAACAGCAGAGATGCACGCAGATTCTTGCATGGACTGAATCAAAGGAGAATGAGGCATTTCTACATGGAAACACTAAAATATATAGAAATTCAGGTCATGAGAGAGAACCTTCAACCTCAATAGACTTTTATTTATCTTAAATATATGCATGTACAAAAGTGTATATATTCTGTACTGTACTATACATACAATATGATTAGCTGTCTATTGATGGACAGAGAAGGCACAGATGACTCAGGCAGAATATTTGTTTTAAGCCAAATGTCAGTTCTAAGGTGACATTAGTTCTTGCAATTGCATGTAGGAAACATCATAGGCTCCTCTTCAGTGTCCCGTAACTCACTAGGAATATTAAACTGAGATTCTGGTTGCTATGTATCATTCAAAGGTCTTTCTTCAGATGATTTTGGTTGTCAGCGAAGAGAGACACAAATGTCATTTCAATGCTGTTGGTGTAATTCTGAATCATCCTATTTGTGTATGCTTCATAGCTTCTTAACTTGGTCAGATATCTGGCAGATCATTTTTATGGCAAATTCTTCATAAAAAAAAAAGTAGAATTGCTAAATAAGTTCTCATAGTGTAAACAATTTAAATAATATAATATGAGATTATAAGATTAAACATATTATATAACATGATCTTCAGTAGCACACATACAATCCTGAAATGTACGCATGGACCATAATATTTTAATATTCATGCTTTACATTTTCTAATATGATATACAATAAACATTTTTGTAAAACATTACCATGAAACAATTCTTTTTATTTGGTATCCTCAAAATCCTATCATTATCAGTCCAAGGGCATGTTATGTGAAGGTTGAGAAGTGGAGGGCTTGGGTGTGGTTCCTTCAATTTTGGGCCCTGGCAGTATTGATATGGGGACAGTAAACCCCTGCCAACATTCCCTAAACCATTATTCGTCATATTTACAGGACCTTTGTTGAAGTCTGTAAAGAAACATTCCCCATTTGATTACTACCTTAAACAGTGCTGTTTTTTTAATATATATATTTTAACAAAGGAATGTGTCAGCTTGCAGGAATCTTTCAGCTTCTATAGACCACTGTTATTATATTACTAGACTGTGTTCATTGTCCTTGCTCTGATAATGTGGATGGCATATCAAAACAGAGGCTTATGCATATTCTATTGATTCCCCTTTATGGTGTTTAAAGGAAAACTATAATGATTTGGAGGCTATTACTATTTTATTTAAAGTAAATTATTTATTTGTTTAATTATGTTTTTCTCTGTTCTACTACATATGTATGCATTTTTTGATTTATAAAAATATTTGATGCATGAGGATTCTCTGAACACAATCGGATACCAGCACAGAAGAAGTAGGTCCCTTTCAGAAACAGCCAGATCTAACTGAAATAGAGCCCTCTGCCTTTTTTTATTTTTAACACACAGTAAATGTAGAGCACAATGAAAGGACCCTAGAGCCTACAGGCTGGGAAAACAATAGAAAGACTAGGATTGCATATTTAATATTTACCTAACTAAAATATTTTTATTTTATTTTGACCATAAGAAATCATGAAAGAATGTAATCACAGTACATCAATTTCTTGGCACCATATCCACTGCTCACAGCACATCCCTTCCGGGCCACTTCACCCCAATCACAGGACATCTGTATCAAAAGACCACACACTGCACAACCTCCCCAGCCACCTCATCCCCCAATTACAGCACATCCCTACCCAGCCACTTTACCCACCAATCTCAGTATATACCTCTCTGGACACCTCACCCATCTATCGTGCATCCTTCCCTTGCCACCTAACCTTCCTGACCCCATCTCCCCTCACTCAAAGTGTAACCCTCTCGGCAATATGACTACATTCACCCCCCTCTTATAGCACGTACCTTTTAGGCAACCTACGTTCAACCCACACAGTGTCGCATCCCTCCCATTAGCCTGCATTCAGCCTTGCTCACTTCACATCCCTTATTGATAACCTTTAGTAACCCCCTATTCATAGTACATCCCTCCCTATCTACATCCTGATGACAGTTCATCCCTCCAGCATAGAAACCCTTACTAACAGTTCATCACTCTAGACAATCTGCATTTACCCTTCCCCTGCAACTACCCCCGACTCAAGACCAACAAAAAACACGTTTTTGAGGAGCGCGACTACCTATGATAAGATTAATGGCCCAATGTGCTGAACTTGGAAAAATGCATAACAGTGTGCAATACAGACAACCAAAACTAGCTAGCAGGTGGGAAGAGAGTAGGTGTCTGCCCGGACCGGAGTGGGAAAACGAGGTGTCAGCCGATGTCACAAACTCAGCTGGCCAGGCTGAGACGGGAAAGCAGTGAGCCGCGATCGGCTCCGTAGCCCCGGACTCTATGCGTGTGGTTACAGTACTAGATGTGACTGTCAGCAGGCTGTCAGCGGAGTGCACAAAGATGGACCAGTGCGTGGGACAGTGAGGGATCTGTACGGGGAGATGGATCTTGCTGCCTGCAGGATACGAGCCCACCTGCTAGCTGTGGACATCACATCAAACAGACCGTGGAGAACATTCTGTGAGAGACACCAGGGCATATAGGCTCACATCCCAACTGTAAGTCATCAATTTTTCCCCTTTTATATGACTAATCAGTTTTGGTTGTCTGTATTGCACACTGTTATGCATTTTTCCAAGTTCAGCACATTGGGCCATTACTCTTATCATAGGTAGTCGTGCTCCTCAAAAACGTGTTTTTTGTTGGTCTTGAATTGTGTCACACAGGGTTCCTCCCCCTGTATTGAGGAGTTTTTTGCACACCTTCCCCCAGCAGATCCATTTCCCACCTGTGTTTGTCCTACAGGAGTGCGCTCTAACCACTGTATGTTTCAACTACCCCCGACTGGCATCTTACATTTGGAAATATGATTTTGTATTTCTTTCTCAAATTGAAAACACATCTTTAAGAACATAATCCTTATCCACAAGTTTCCCATTCTGCAATGACCACACTTTTGCTAGCATATAGAACAGCGATGCATTTAGCACTGCGTTTCTGGTGTGTTCACCATACAGGGATTGTGCTGCATTGGAAACATATCACCTTATAGAAGTGAACTTTCCATATTACCGTATAAAAGTAGCAGTGACATCACCACTATGCTGCATGTAACCTGGGCAGAGAGTAGAGCTCTAGAAGGGGAATGTTGACTCGTTTTGGCCAGTAGGTTTTTCGGAATAAAGTGGCTTTTGGACATGTAGCACCAAAAACATTCTTACAGTAACAAAGGATTATATGAAATATTGGGCAATAATGAAAGCTTATGCAGAACAGTCTGTAAAATTAGATGTATTGATTAGCTGAAAAGCTCTACATTTATAAAGACCATACATTAAATAAGGACCTTCATCCAAACAAGCCCTGATTTGGAGTAGAGTGGCATGATTTCCCATCCCAAGCCTAATTTCATGCATAAATTAATCGTGTTAATGCCTACAATTCAATTGTGTAACACCCTCTTGCATTACAGATACTGTACATGTATTTAAATTGATATACACTTAAGCATTGTACTGAAGTCTATATTACATAATCCTAATTTACTTTTTACTAACAGGTGCCAACAAAGAAGAAAAATGAATTACTTGCTGCCAGCAGTGATTTTCTTTTTTGGTAAGTGTAGAAGCAAACCAATGACAGTTCATTAACTGTAGCATAAACATGTAGACACAGACCTGAGGTTAGACGACAACAACAACATTTCACAAATGAGAATTTTACAAACGAACCCTTAATACATTAGCAGTCCTGACAGAGATCTTCCTGTCATTCACACTCTACAAATAATGCAAATTAGGACTAAAAATGCCCAAATGTCTGCAGAAGAAACCAAAATGTTAAACAATTAATAAAATTAATAAAATAGTTGTGTCACAATTATTTTATTAATTTTCAATAATATCATTATTTCAGTGCTGCTGCTATCACGCATATTACATAGTTACATAGTTAGTCAGGATGAAAAATGACACATGTCCATCGAGTTCAACCTATAGAGATATGGGGGGAAAAAAGCTTAAACTGAACACTATGCCCACAAATACCCACTGTTGATCCAGAGGAAGGCAAAAAAAACCCTATAAAGCATGGTTCAATTTGCTCCAACGGGGGAAAAAAAATATTGCGCAGGGTCTATTTATATGTGAAAATGTTAAACAATATTTAAGCATAAAATTCAAACAGTTCAGTTTGGTGTTCCCTATCAGACCAGATGGTGGCCTGGTAGTTCCAGTGCTAATGTCTTTAGCACGAACCAGTGGCATTGAAGTCAATGAGCAACCATTTTTGATGGTCACTTTTGGCCTTTTGTAGGGTAAACTATTGTTGTCGAAACAGTATAGGTGGTGGCACACGTTATGGGGGAGGGGTGAATGGGTGAAGGGGGTGCTGGTGGTGCACATTACTTCTGGCTCCAGCTCTGTCTGGCATCCCGCCCAGCTCACTGACGTCACTGGTTGCCAGGAGCTGGGCGGAACCCCGTCCAGAGCGTACCAGGTTGTTAAGAGCTTTTAGCAACTTGGGACACTCTGGCCAGCAAGGGGCCAGAAAGGGACCTTGCTGGCCAGAGTGTCCGCCCCCCATGTGACCCAAAGAGATGCCCTGATTACACATGGGTAGGTAAAAATTAGCCAGTGGCAGCACAGTTTGATGACAATGCCAACAGGTCTAGATGCAGAGATATAAGAATGTGCTCTTTCTGAGGTATTACAAATCTCGCTATGTACTGTATGATAACTGGAGAGAGTTTTGCCTGTTTATTGACAAATAATAATTCTTCTTTAGTACTACAGGCATCCAATGAGCAGAAAATCACACGTCTCACAGCGTGTCAAAGTGGACGTGGCCCGACACTACGGATAGACTGTCGATATCAGAACATTACAAACAATCCTCTGCGATATGAATTCAAAATAAAACGTAATAAAGAGCCTGAGATCATCCTTACTACAATAAACCTTAATTACTTCACTGACAAGTATCACAATCGAGCCACTATTCATACAGCACGTGGTCTTGTTCAGCTTCACATTGAACGATTTAATGCCTCTGACGTTGGTCTATATTACTGTACTCTGAACATTCCTAATGACCTCACTGTCAATCAGACAGCCAAGATCAGTGTCCAAAAAGGTAAGATGGTGAAGACTATTGGAAGAATGCATGAAATTATGAAAACATATGTAAAAATTGCAGTCATTTTACAGATCACACCTGGACTTGCAATATAGATATTCTGGTGTTTGGCACAAGGGTTGCTAGTGCCTGGGAACACTTGTGGTGTGGTGCCCTAAACATACAGTGTTAAATTTGAGGAGGCACCATCATAGGTTAAGGGTAACATTGATGTTCGTAGCTTTTGGCTTGTAGATTGGCTGGAGGCAGTTACGTCTGCTGGATGCTTAAGTAAAGCTGAGGAAAGACCAATGCCCATCAAGGTAAACCTCTTAAAACTCCTGCAGTTTTGGTCTGAAGAAAGAAAAACAAAACCTGTGAATCTAATGTTGACAGTTTTCCTACATCATCGAGGAAACAAAATGTTGCTAACAAAATGTTATTGTGAAGCAGTCAAATAAATTTCCTGCTTCACAATATTCCTATATTAAAGGAGAACTATGAGGTGAGTGATTTTCACTCAACCTCATAGTTCGAGCCGACGTGTGAGCCGACAATTAAACTGTCACACGTCGGCTCAATAGATCGGGAAGTGAGCGAACACATACCGTCGCTCCGTCACTTCTCGATCATGTCCCTGCAGAGAGCCGTGACTGTCACTCACGGCTCCCTGCAGGGATTCCCCCCTCCCCTGTTCGATCCTCCAGCGCTGACTGGTGGAACGGACGGGGTAGGGGGCAGGCACCCCTCTAGATAGGCAAAGCCAGCTGCCACTCACGCAGCTGGGTGGATCTCGACAGTAATGTCAGGATCGGTACCGGCTGCAGCACTCTCAGTATACCACGAGCTGTAGCTTGCGATATACTGAGCTTTGGGGCACGGGAGGACGCTAGTTTATGTCCTCCCGTGACCCTTAGGAGAACTATGGTGGAAAACACTTACCCTATAGTTCTCCTTTAACCTATTGTAATTATTACTTCAGATACTATTAGATGCAAATACATTATTCTACAAGCCCCTGCCGAGCTCTGTAGCAGCAGGTACTATGAAGCAATTCATCCTCAAAATTCACAGCAGAAACACTAAACTCAAACAAGTCAGCTTTCTTAGCAGCTCGGTTAGCTCTGTTCTCCCTTTCTAGCAGTCATTTGGCAGCAATCCAGCTTTCTAATCTCCTATGTAAACTAAACTGGTAGAACAAAGTTACGTCTGCTGGATGCTTAAGTAAAGCTGAGGAAAGACCAATGCCCATCAAGGTAAACCTCTTAAAACTCCTGCAGTTTTGGTCTGAAGAAAGAAAAACAAAACCTGTGAATCTAATGTTGACAGTTTTCCTACATCATCGAGGAAACAAAATGTTGCTAACAAAATGTTATTGTGAAGCAGTCAAATAAATTTCCTGCTTCACAATATTCCTATATTAAAGGAGAACTATGAGGTGAGTGATTTTCACTCAACCTCATAGTTCGAGCCGACGTGTGAGCCGACAATTAAACTGTCACACGTCGGCTCAATAGATCGGGAAGTGAGCGAACACATACCGTCGCTCCGTCACTTCTCGATCATGTCCCTGCAGAGAGCCGTGACTGTCACTCACGGCTCCCTGCAGGGATTCCCCCCTCCCCTGTTCGATCCTCCAGCGCTGACTGGTGGAACGGACGGGGTAGGGGGCAGGCACCCCTCTAGATAGGCAAAGCCAGCTGCCACTCACGCAGCTGGGTGGATCTCGACAGTAATGTCAGGATCGGTACCGGCTGCAGCACTCTCAGTATACCACGAGCTGTAGCTTGCGATATACTGAGCTTTGGGGCACGGGAGGACGCTAGTTTATGTCCTCCCGTGACCCTTAGGAGAACTATGGTGGAAAACACTTACCCTATAGTTCTCCTTTAACCTATTGTAATTATTACTTCAGATACTATTAGATGCAAATACATTATTCTACAAGCCCCTGCCGAGCTCTGTAGCAGCAGGTACTATGAAGCAATTCATCCTCAAAATTCACAGCAGAAACACTAAACTCAAACAAGTCAGCTTTCTTAGCAGCTCGGTTAGCTCTGTTCTCCCTTTCTAGCAGTCATTTGGCAGCAATCCAGCTTTCTAATCTCCTATGTAAACTAAACTGGTAGAACACTTTTTCTCAACCTACAAAAGTATACAAAATCTCAAGGCACCCCAATATAAAATGTAAAATCCATACAAGATTCTTAATATATATAGGAAACTGGTAAGAATTTTAAGGGGGCACCCAATACAAAAACACCAAAAAATGGGGTTCCCCATTTTACATCAGGAGCCCCCTGCTTTCACATCAGGAGCCCCCTGTAAGGTCTGTAACTGTATAGATCTTATCTACTTTAGGGCCAATTCACACTAGCGGCTGGTGTGCGTTGCCCGACACAGTGTCAATGCGCCGACCCTTCACAACACCCGTGTTCTTTTTTTTGGTAAAACTTTATTGAAATGTCACAAGTGATATTTCATTCAGTTCTACATGCACAGCGGGTGTGAGGCGATTGTACTGTGTCACATCCTGCTGCGCTGACAAAAGTACAGTATGCTGTACTTTTTTCAGCACACAACACCGTGTTCCACTCACAACAGTGTGCTGTACTTTTTTCAGCACACAACACCGTGTTCCACTCACAACAGTGTGCTGTACTTTTTTCAGCACACAACACCGTGTTCCACTCACAACACGGTGGTGTGAACCGATCCCATCCGTGACAAAGCAAATTGCCATGTCTTGTGTTTGAGCTGCACTGGAAACAACGGCCTGTACAACCCCAACGCATATGGTTTGAATTGGCCATTAGTGAATTTGCCTTACTGAGTTGAGTTGCCCATCAGGTGCCTTGATACAGTGGTACTTCTAAGTTTATGTAGCAGATCTCAATGCATGTACATAGCAAGCTGTTATTGTGTATGCAGTTACATTGAATTAATCAAAGCATCTAACTATTCCTTATTGTTCTTATACAGACAAACTCGAGACTTGTGGTGGAATGAGCATTTTTTCCCCTTGTACACCGTGGCCTCTTCTTCTGCCCCTCATTCTGCCTATCCTCCAAGCTGGAGTCTTCTTATCCTAGTGAAAATCACCTTTTGAAGAAAATAATGTTTTGTATCAACATGGAGGAGATAAGTGCTGAATTCATATTGTTTTATAAACAGCCTGTGGGTTTTTTTGCCATTTTATTTAGCATATTCTGTCCCTTTTAACATATATACTGCAACATAATCATAGCAATGAAATACGTCCTTCTAGTTGTCCAGTAAAGCAAATTATTAATTGTCCATTGCAGCAATGCCAAATTTGACCCCTACCATTCCATCTTCACAACACCTTTTATTTCACTAGTTTCTTTAGTGCTCCAGCCATTGGCTATGCTGTGACAAAATAATTGCCCTCATAAAAAAATAAATTATGTTAATACAAAAGCTCTATTTAAAATGATTTCGAATTTGTTGTCCCTATAATATGACAAGGAAAACATATATGACCTTCTAAATTGCTGTCTCTCCCACAATATGTAAAGCAATGCAAAAATCATTAGATGTGCAGTGGGAAGTGCTTACCAATGGATGAGCTTACTCATGGGCTGTGTCCTACATTTCTTATACTTGGTAAATGTCTATGGAAAGCACTGTTAAAATGTATGTTAAGTCAAAACTTTTTTTGTTTTGGATAGAGAATGGTTAAAAACCCTGTCAGTTTTTTTTCTTTTTTTGGGGGGGGGGAAACCCGGTATGTGTTCGCTCGCCTCCCGATCTACTGAGCCACAGGTCAGCTAGAACTATGAGGTGAGTGAAAAGCACTCTCATCATAGTTCTCCTTTAAAGCTCAAAAAAGTTAGTCAATGGTCACCAGGCTAAAAAGGAAAGGTCAATCTTCCCAGCAGGGACATAGACAGTTATAAAAACACGACAAAGAGTCTAACACTTCCTTATTCTATAAAAAAATTACAGAAAAATACTTTTGGGTTTACATACATACATCCATACATTACATATATTTTAGGGTAACACTTATGCTAGCTCTAACAAGTAATCATTTAAGATTTCCTTTTCTATGATTATGATGATGATCTATTATTATTCAACTGAGAATTATTATTGCTATTATTATTATTTTTTTAGTTATTATTATTTAAATCAAACA